ATCGCTGTCCATGATCTTTCTATCCCCTCTTTCCTCTGTCATGGACGGCGGAAGTCCATCGTTGTCCATGTTCTTTATCTCTCTTCCCTATCTCTCTTCCCTTTTCCTTCTCTCTTCTCCCTCTCTTTCTCTCTATGCTTTTCTTGTCTCTTTATCTCCCTCTTTCTTATTCTTTTTCCACTCTCATTTGACCAAGGGACAAGTCTAGCACTGTCACGATAGTCTCGTTGTCGAGCAGTATTGCCGCCGTACTGGTCTAAGTCACTATGCCCGTCTTGCTGCCGCATCGAACTAGCCGTTGTGCCAAGCTAATTGGTGTTGGTGTTATGTCATCGAGTAGTACTACCATCGTGTTGTTCTCGTTACCGTGCCCGTCTTACTACCACGTCAGGTCAATCATTATGCCAAACTAGCCATTGTGCTAGGCTAATTACCCGTCAAGTGTGTCTTTCTGTTCTTCTTCTTCTCTCTTCTTCCTTCTCCTAACCCTCATCTCATCGTCTCTTCTCTTTTCTCCTTTGAATGTGCCCGCCTTGTGTACATTCATCCAAAGACAAGGTGGGGTCTTTCGGCCCACTTGTCTTGTAAAATTAACCATATGTGTATGATTGCAGAAATAGGATAATACAGGCCAAGGGAGGCGACTCCAAAGAACTGGGGGGCTTTCTTCGTGATCTAAAAGGTTGCCCACGTGAGCCAGCCCGAGTGAGTCCCGAACCCACCTTAAATTTCTCTCTCATCGGTTGGTACACCTGCCCTCGCTCCTGAGCGAGGTTCCCATGAGAGTGATCTCAAAATTCCCGGGTTCTCCCGAAACCTGAAACGCTTGCTGCCAGATCATCCGGATCCGGAGGACGAGATCGAGGCACCTAACCAGGTGGCATATTTTTCTTAGTTTATGTTGTGAGTTACCCATATGGCTACTTGGATATTGTGACTACTTATATGTGTGTTTTTTTTAATCCCTCTTTTTATTTGTGTGAGAGTTTGTTTTGTAGGAGAAGGTTGACTGTATTTGATAAATAGAAACAGTAAACAAAATCCTCAATATGGCGTCCCACAAGAGCCCATCATGCGTATGTGTGTGCATGTTTGGTATATAGGGCTATATTATACATTTGCTATGTCAAATAATTAAAAAAAAAAGAAAAAGAAAATGTATTCTAGGGTTTGAAGTTGGTTTCCTCTAGTTGGAGTAAATCTATGCTGAGGTAGAATGCTTCCTTATTGTGTTCCTTATATGATCAACTTAATAGCACTCAAATATCAGATTGTTAAGAATCTTCGGCACAATAAATCTGCTCGTTATTTTGGACACCTTGTTTGGCCTCATGAAGTCCTACATTGTTTGCCCTACAAGAGTTTGAGATATGAATTATAATTTTCAAAATAAGAAAGTATATTATTAGATAAATTTCGAATACATTGACATTAATAAAATCTTTGGAATGTAAAAAATCTATATATAAAGATACAATGGAAAGGAAAAAGAAAAAAATAAGGATTTCATTTTAGTTTAGACATAATGAATGTGAGAAATTAATTAGTATAAACTTAAATGTAGGGTAAAATACAAAAACTACAAGTGAATTTCCATGTTTCTTATCAGGTGCTATCAAACTAGCATATTCCATGTTTCTTATCAGGTGCTATAAAACTAGCAAACGCCCTTATTCTAGGGATAGACCAATTTCAAGAGAGGCCAATTCTAGGAAAAGCTTATCCACAAGACATGCATCTCCAGGTACCCAAACGGGCTCATAGAGAAAAACAAGAAGCACAACGAGAAAGAAACCTGAGCCAAAAGTGGTTGCTAAAAAAGTTTTTCAGCAGTCAGTACTCTACGTGAAAGTCACACAGGCACGACTCGATGCAGCTCGTGTAGCAGTTGCACTACTCGCTCGAAGTCACACACGCCCAATGGCCTCCGGATGGATTTCTTGGGCCTTTTCCCTAGCAAATTTCTGCTTGTGACTTCTATTTTAACTGAAAAATAATATTAGATAATAATGAAAAGCTTTATCACAATCTAGAGATGTGGATCTATAGCTCAATAAACCCACAGTGGGCACCAAATGGTTTACTCTCGAATTTACGCCAATCTCTGAGCAAGATCAACTCAAATTTAAGCAAACCTAGTTAAATTTTTTGATTCCATAGAGAAGTAAGATCACACAAATTATAGATCTGGTAACAATACAAATCTGACCTTTTTCTAGGTCTACTAGTAGAGCCATAAATTCACGTCTACTAGATCTTTAAAGAGCTAAAAATAATTTCTATACTAAATTCTTTAATTATGTAAATAAAGCTATAAAATCATAAAATAATGAATTAAAATAAAAGGAAAGGAAACTTACCACAGGGTACTCGAAACTCAAAGTTCTGGGCTCGAATTAGGCGGTCGTTCGCGACTATCTCATTTGTTTGAATGTTTTCTTTTTTGTCTAAAATTGGTTAGAATGCCCTAAATTAGGGTTCTAGGTTCTAAAAGCTTTAGGGTTCCTAGTTCTAAGGTTCCCCTAAGTAGATGTTTCCTAGGGTTTTCTAGGGATTTTAGGTTTCGTATGAACTTTTATTATTTTTTGAAATTTTGGGATTTTTTTAATTTTTATTATTTTTTGGGGGTTAATGGGATTTTTTTTCCCAGGGATTTTTGGGAATTTTTTGAATTTTATGGTTTTCTAGGTTTATCTTAAGGATTTTCTAAGTGAGTTTATGAATTTTTAGGAGTGTTTTATATAGGTTTTGCCAAGGGACCAGGTTGAAATTTATGGAATTAAAACTGCAGTCCCAATCTAACTAGGATAGAGGTAAAATAATCTATTTATTCATATTTAGTTTTTATTTTGTTTCTATTTTCTTCTTTATTTTTGCATTTCTTTTGAATTTTACACATACATGAACCAGCTTGGCAGCTGATTTGTAAAGAATAGGTCATTTAGATTGATTTCTTCGAAGATTTGAATTTGACGGAACCTACCTCTTTAGACTTATAAAATCTTAAGTTTAGATATGATCTCAGACAAATAGGACTTTGATTAGCTTGGTCAGTCTCAGAATCACATGTAAACATAGCCCTTATTGTGATTATATGCAAAGTTATCACAATCTGGCAATCAAACCGCTTTTGACGAACAATAATCGTCAAGACATATCAATTTCTATCCAAACTCTAATATTGTATGGAGAGACATATTGGGGCTATAGAATATATGTACCATAATTCGGTATCACATCGAGATGTTTTGATTGTCTTAGAAGGGGTCCGGCTATTAAAGCATATGGTGACCAGTTGTCAGGGCTTTGAAGGCATAGTATGGACTTGGATGGCAAGTCCTAATTGTATTGCACCTTTGTTTCGCATATCTATTTGAAATCATACTCATAAGCCTCTTATGGGACCCATCCGTCTATCAAGCTTATGTATCCTTGATGACAACTTGGTCCTAATTCGATTTTCCCATACTTTGATTCTATATCTTCCATTGCATTTGTCCCCTTGAATTATGAGCCCAAAACATACATCCAAAACCCTATCTCTCTTAATACCTCTCTCACCCCCTCTACCTTCTACGGAGCTTGGACACGACTTTCAAAGTAAAAAAAAATAAAAATAAAAATTAAACATCTCTCCCACTCTCTAAAGCCAAAGAAAGAGTCTACCTCCTCTCTCACTCTCTCCTTGTAAGTTGTAATCAATAATTTATGATTTGAACCATCATTTTTGTTGATTCTATCGTAAAAAGGAACAATATCCAATTGATGGAAGTTCAAGACATACAAATGGCTTATTAAATTCTATTCTTTTGAGGACATCTTTCTAAATAGACCAAGTATACTTTTCAAGGGAATTTCAAACATAATTAGCTAATATATAAAGGGGTGGTATAGATTCTACATGATGTGGAAGCTTGAACGTTGTAGATTGCGCCTAGTAGAAACCAATGGCCTAAAAGAAATTTTATATTTTATTTTTATTTAAAAATGATATTTATTTAATATTTAGTGTATAATTATATTTTTAGATGGCTTATAAAATAAAAATAATTTAAACAAAAAAATTGATGTAATTACCCTTGAAAAGATTTAAAGGTATTTTGATTAATTCAATGTAAAAAACAAATTGTCGCCTAAATATTAGATAAATATAAAATAAAAATAAATATAAAATACGATACTCCTTTATGGTAGTTGCATGCACCCATGATTAAAAAAAAACGGGCTTATGCCTTTTTGTGGATGGGAGAGGTTGCTATATAGAAAAACAAGTTGAGAATTAGGGAGGACAATGAACCGAACTCGACCCGGGACCCGCTGGGTATCCCCGACACGGGTCTGGGTAGGGGTCTAACATTTAGACTCGCATGGTCGGGTTCGAGTCCAAAACTTAGACCCGAACACTATTCGGGTTCGGGTCCAGTTGGATCCAACCCTTACCCAACTCGTACCCCGTAAACTGTTGGAGATAGAATTCTTCATGTCCTAATCGTTCCGGTGTATTAAGTATCACATACATTAAAAACTTGTAGTCATATTTAGCTATTAAACAACAAATCAGATGGCTTAAAATCTAATGACTTGTAAATGTGATCATGTTCTCAATAATATGGGTATATGATGATAAAAGAAGGCAAAAAAAGAAACTCAATAGTGAGGGTAGAAATAGACCCGACAAGACCCGAGACTCGATAGGATAGACCCGAGACCCAACAAGTGTACATATGGGACCAACTTTTGGACCCGATACCCTATTACTATTTGGGTCTGGGTCTAGCCACAGACGACCCGATGCCACCCCTAGAGAATTCCATTTCTTGTTAAATCATTTTATCAAGAACACAAGTTCGAAGAACAGTATTTTCTTGTGATACAAGCATGCGGTTTCTCTCTCTCTAACCATTTCCCTCCGTTGCATGGACCGTTGCCACGAGCCCCACTTGAGAAAACGCCCCTTCTCTCTCTAAAATAAAACCCAAAGAAAGAGATCTCGTACATGTTATATAAAGGGCTTTCTTGCATCGTTTTTGGTTGCGACCCAGCCCTCTTAAACAGTTTCCCAGTGTGTGTGATTTGAACAGAATCAATTTTTTTTTCCGAGGGTTGGGGAGGTGAGGATTCCTTTGCGCTTTTAGAGAGAGATCCATCCTCTGCTTCAAATACTGTGTTTCCCACCTGTGTGCCGCCACATTAGCCTGTAAATTAATATATCCCTCTCTCCTCTCTCTCTCTCTCTCTCTCTCGCTCTCTTCATTCAAATCCCTACTTGTAGATCCGCCTTCCTGTGTTTTAGTTGCTTTGTTTGCTCTCTTTTGCTGTTTTCCTGTCCAAATTTGGTTTTCTCGACGCGGATTTTTGGTGGTTCTCTAATAGATTGGAAATTCGATGGACAAGAAGAAGGTGGTTGTTCCCTTGGTTTGCCATGGCCATTCGAGGCCCGTGGTTGATTTGTTTTACAGTCCTGTAACGCCCGATGGCTATTTCCTCATTAGTGCTAGCAAGGGTAAGCGCCCACTCTCTAGATTCATCTTGGTTATTTGGAATTAGTTGAGGTTCTTACTCTTCGTGCAGTACCTTATAGCCCCATATTCCTATCTCTCTCTCTCTCACTGTGTCTCTGAAGGAATATACTTGATGTTCATTCTCAATGCTGCAAATTGGAATTTTGAGTGGTGATCACGAAAGGCCTTTGGTATTCTGTACTGAAGTTGCTGTTTCTTGATCAGTCCTTCACTTGCCTGTTTTTCCATCTTCTGTACTTTGTTTGATTTGATTTTCTTCCCTTTTTTCTCGTATTAAGGTTCTGGGCTCTCTGTCCTGTGGATGGATGTTGGATAATTTTTATAAACTTGATGTAAGAAACATTGTATTGATTGTGCTGATACATGCATTGGCACCCATGACGGTAAACAATTAGAACTCTGAACTTTATTTTTCTGCCAGATGTTTTCTCTCATTCCATGTGCTTACAGTGCATTATTTTTTCTAGTCAAAGCCATTATAGAGGATAAGGTAGTTAAGTGTCATATGATATTGTGCAATTTTTTCAAGCAATTAGACAAAGTCAATTGTCAAAACGAACTACATGGTGCAATTTGCCCAATCACCCATTTGTCTTGGGAAATAATTCGAGCAAAAGGGGTTATGCCTGTCCTTTTATTACTATTTATATGATACTATCAAGAACTTCATTTCATTTGAATGAGTCTATGCAAAATTTGTGGCTTTCTTCTATAGCACTTGATGGAAATTACGTATCTGTTTGGAATTCATGTTTTTGGGAGCCTTTTTTCAAGCTATACTCATTACCTTGAGTGAGAATTCTGGTTATACATGCTATTATGAATATGGAACATGGATTGCTTAGATTTTTTTCAAGCGATTATTGTGTAAATATGGAACTGGTTGTACTCATTACGTTCTATCATACTATTTTTTTCAAGCTATTATGCATCTCAGTTACATGGTCTGGCATCTTTGATTCTAGATGCAGTCATAAATATGCGTAAAAGGTTTTGGTTGAGCTACTCCATTGTTGAAACACATACGTATGTGTCTATGTGTGTGCATTTCAAATATCTATATTTTAGGCTTGCTGTTTTTAGGGGCCTATGGTCCCCATCTTAAACTCTAAACAAAGGCACCATCCCTATGTTCATTTGGCCTGTATTTCAGTTTTGAACTTGTTTCAGCATTGTTGAGAAGTAATTTCTATATTTCAGAACCTAGGTTAATAATGCGATACATGCGTGGCATACTTTGATTATCAATTTCAAGTGGTTTTTGATAGTTTTGAACTCATCTGAGTGATGCCAATTATAGGCCTTTCCTTTCAAATGGATCTATGAGGCAATCGCCATGGGACAAGGTTGTCTTATGCACTTATTCTTTTAGGGACTCCATTTTTTTGTTCTTTTAGAAAAAAAAAATTGAGTTGATTGTAATACACTCTTGTATATTGGGGAACACGCAAGCAGAGAAATTACTTGTTCCCTTTTTGTGGATGATCATACTAGGAATACATAAATACTCCTATGCATTGGTTGCCAAGGCAATAGTCCTATGCATAGGTTGCCAAGGCACCACGCCTAGCGCAGTGTCCCAAGGAGGCTCAATGCTGGCCAAGCTCCAACCTAGGCGCCTATCTCAACCCTTGCCCCTCCATCCCCACAAAAAAAAAAGAAAAAGAAAAAGAAAAAAAAGAAAAAAGGAAAAACAACAACAACTGGCACCCCTTTATCATGAGCCCAAACCCCTCAATGCCCCTTGTTCTCACCTCATTGTTTTTGGGTCACCTCATCCATGAGGCGGCTTGCCTAGGCTGCACCTTCCACCTTCTAACCTATTGCCTATCGATATTACATTTGGGCACGCTTGGGTTCACGATCACTTGATTCATTGTTATGTTTGGAGGACACTCTTATGTTGCATTCTTATCCAGTGCTACAAAGCGACAATAAATTACAGAAAAGCATTATGCACATGCAAACATAAATAAAATAAATAAGTGCATCATAATCATCATCATCCGAGTCTTATCTTAACTATTTGGCGTCGGTTTTCATGAAAAGATGTGGCATAGTTTTGTGCTGGCTGCTCATCTAACACAGCCCTCCTTTCTCAGCGCTTGGGTCCGGCCATGGCGGAGTTAGAATAAATAAGTGCATAACTCGTTAGATTAAGTATAATATGCTTCACATGCATTCATGTATATTAGGGAACGCGCAAGCAAAGAAATTATTTGTTCCCTTTTTGTGGGTGATCATACTAGGAATACATAAATACTCCTACGCATAGGTTGCCAAGGCAGTACTTCGATGCATAGGTCGCCAAGGCACCATGCCTAGCGCATTGTCCCAAGGAGGCTCAATACTGGCCAAGCTGCAACGTAGGTGGCCAAGGCAACTTTCTCAACCCCTGCCCCTCCCCTCAAAAATAAAAATAAAAATAAAAATGGCGCCCCTTTATCATCAGCCCAAACCCCTCAATACCCGTTGTTCTCCCCTCATTGCTTTTGGGTCACGTCATTCATGAGGAGGCTTGCCTAGGCTGCATCTTCCCCCTTCTAACCTATTGCCTATAGATATTACACTTGGGCATGCTTGGGTTCACGATCACTTGATGCATGGTTATGTTTGGAGGACACTCTTATGATGCACTCTTATCCATTGCTACAAAGCTAGAATAAATAAGTGCATAACTCATTAGATTAAGTTTAATGTGCTTCACATGCATTCATGTGTATTTTGTATTATCAAGATTGTCGGTGGGGCTTCTATGGACTCATCAAGTACTTTTTGAACTTCTGTTCAAAATGGTGCAGCACTTATCAAATGCTTACCCATTTCACATCCAAATGTTTGCTGCCTTGGGAAGCAATTCTACATGATACCTTGTTTTGGCAGGTTGTGGTGGCCTTTTCACAGCTCAGAATGGCATGTTTGCTTTTGTTCCTTAGATGTTTTGCGTTCCCTATTCGTTGCTTGTATCCATCTTTGTTCTTAATTGTCTATTGATGGTCTTAACTTATACTGCATCTTCATTTGTCAAGGGACCACCCTTGATATCATTAGGAGGGCAACAAGGGGCTTTTGGGCTAATTGATGTTTCATCTTTTGTGATCATCAAGTTTGTGGCATTTTTAGTTCTTTATAATTCTTTCGAGATGCTCGAGTTCTTGACATTTGAATGATGGCAAGTGGCGTTTCTCTTTTTAGCTAGACTAGCCTTGGTTTGGGAAGGACTGGTGCCTTTGAGTTACTACTATGATATGTAACACTATGGTTAAGAACCAGGTTTTAGTAATGCGATGTAGGCAACTAAAAGTGTAGTTGTCTCCCCCCCCTCCTACTTTTTCATGAGGAGGTTTTCATGAAGTGGGTTTGGTGACATATTTATTACACACTTCCTATCTAGCTCTTATGGGGCCCTTTGGGTACCTGGAAATATATTGTTTGGTAAACACATTATTGGCATAGAATTGTTGTTGTTGGGGTAGCATCTGTATGCAACCTGGGAAATACATTGCTATTGTTTAGCTACGTTTGGAAGAAATCTGGGAAATTCATTACTGTTATTTTGACTAGGAAATACATGTTAATTTTATCTATAGTAATGTGATTTTTTTGTACAGTTCTCTCTTTGTTTTTTCCTTATTTAGGTTAAAATATCAATTAAAACTACTTTGTGTTCAAATATCTGTAGGCAATATCCACATGGGTTTTGATGAAATAAATTGATGTGTGTATAGGAAGCCTATCATATTAATTTTGTGAAATTTGAGTGAATTTTTCCCCTTCACATGAAAGCCAAATCCAAAATTTTTGATTCTCAAATTTGATATACTCTGTAAACATCTAGGATTATATGGAATTACCATTTATTTTCAATAGAAGTACTATAACTTAAAAAGATGAGTACAACAAGAACGCCATTAAGGACATAAGAAAATTGAAATATGTTGCAATTGTCCTTAGCTAACAAGGATCGATTGTTGAAAAAATTGGGTCGTGATTTATTAGTACAAGTTCTTATAATTGTTGTTATCGACTCCTCTGTGCATGTCAGCGTCTCAGATTTGCTATGTAGTCTCTGATATACTGATCGAACTATTCATAGAATTGGCATTTTTAGTCTGTATTACATAGGAATACTAGAAATATCGCTAATTAAAATAAATATCTCTAATTTGACCATTTTAAGTCAAAATTAAACATTCATCCAAAACCCAAATTAAAGCACAAAATAATAACATAAATGAAAGTATTAAAGTACAAAAATAAATTCTTTTTTTATCATTTTAAATCTAGGGAAAATTTCGTATAGAACGCTAATTCCTCATATTATTTCATGGTAGACCCTCGTTCTATTTTTTTTTTCAAGCGGCATAAGGAAATTCCTAAGGATTTCATCGTACCTCCTCATCTCTTATCTCCCTCTTTTATTGACTTTTGACCATAAAAATTAGCCCCAACAAATCTTTTTATACCATTTCATCTCAAAAACGTTTTTAACCCTT